CCCCAAAAACCTGACAATACTGTTTCTTTTTTAAAAAAAACCCAAACACATCATATTTTTGAGTTCTACTGAAAATCTGTTTCACAAAGCACTTAAAAGCTGAGGCAGAAACAGCACTGCTGGGAGGAAGATCTTTCAGGCAACAGAAAAGTACTTTTTTTTTTTTTTTTTGGACCACTGACACTTTAGACCTTGTCTACATTTTTATTCCCACTGAAAGAGGCTGCATATAGGGCATCAGTTCTTAATTTAAATTTTAATAGGCTCCTGCCTTAAACTGGTTTTGTCTTCAAACTTTGAAGCTAAACTAATTTTAGCTTAAAATCAACTGCATTCTTTTCTAGAAAGTGTAACTAGGTTTTGGCAGTGAAAATACCATATTGATAAGGTAATAATTAAACAATGAGTTTCTAATTTGAAGTTCACTTATAGCGAAAATATTCAGGCAATGAAGAGTTCAGCAGAGTTGAGACAGGTTAGATATTTTAAAAAAATAAAGGTACCATCCAGGTTTAAAAAGAGTAGCAGCTAAATGCCACCAGTATGAATTCATTAATCCAGCTGGCAGATTATTATAATTTATATGGATCTGTTGTATGCAGATGTTGACATCAGCTAAGAAAGTTCTTTAAATACACTGGTACAGTGCATTGCAATCGCAGAACAGTTACTTCCTGCAAGATCCCACCTCGCAATGAGTTAAAGTGCCCATTTTCTCAACAGGAATAGGAATGTCACTTTGTCTACTGGATTCTGATTGTAGCAGAATACACTTAATTTTCTTATCTTGCATAATTTTGTCTTTGTATGTCATTGGAAGGCTATACCCTGATTGAAGGAAAAAATTCAAGAGCATGAAGGCTTCTAATTCCTCATCCACTCTTCCTACAAAAAATAAGCACCACCCTATACCCGTAGATACCAGTAGCCTAAGGCTCTCTTTAAACTGTGCAAATTAAATATCCATCATCATAAATCTGGCTTCCATTCTGCTCGAGGCCGCTCTTCAGAGGTCAGTCAGTCTGTGAGGCAGACCCATCTTTCACTTGGCAAGCAAGGACAGCATCGTGAATACTGTGAAACAGCAGCTCTCTTGTTACGGTGTTATCAAAAAAATTCAGTCTCGTCAGCTCATTCATAACAGGGCCTACAAAATAAAAACCAAATGTGGCATCAGTGCACAAACTAAAGTACAAAGATGGAAGACAGGGGCATCTTAGGAAGAAGACAACAGCTTGTTTGCTCTCCTGCTTGTTACGACTTAAAACATTTGAAATCACCAGGTGGATCACATGCTACTTCTATTCCAAACGGGTATTTCTCTTATCCAGACACACACAGAGGCCTATTCTTGGCAGCTACAATTGCAAGTATCAGAAACTCGGAACACTGCAGGCTTTTCTCATTATTCCATGATTTCTGAATTTGAAGATGCAGAGTTTGGTGTGGCATTTACAATTTGCCAGCTGGAATAACTGGGAGCAGGATCTAGTCCTCACAGAACTCATTACATCAGTGCTCCACTTTCACTAAAGTGAAGACTCTAATGCATATGAGCTTGCTTTTCCTCAAATCCAGTTTTAATCCAATGTTATGTGAAGTAAGTGCTGCAGCACCTGGCAGCAGAAAGGGAAAACAATAACACACCTCCTGTAAAGCTCACAAAAAAAAACCAACTCACCACTACAGCTGGCAATATAGACACAAACACCAACTTCTTTGAATTCTTTAATAATCTGGAACAGAGTTAAACTGAAGTTAAAGGCAGGTATATCATTGGACACATCGCAGTTGTGGAAGATGTCAACCAATTACTGCGAAAGCTGCACAGTCCACATTCCCCAGTATTCAGCTAAAACTTACAATCTACAGAATTACAACCGTGATTAGGTGAGATACTGGATTGTATTTGAGCTGGCGTTTATGTCTCATGCTGACAAGTTCCCTATTAGGTATCTCACAAGTTTTCTGTGGGATTTTTTAGGGGTAAAAAGCCCTACTTACTGATTTTAATGTTTTTGCTCCAACTGAATCCACAAAGTTCACTGGGGTGAAATCCAGAAT